GAACCTCACTCGGCGACAGCGACACAACGCTGTCGCCCCGCTAAAACGGTACTTCCGAACAGGGCTATGGCGACTCAGCCCGTATGCATACACTTTGTGGAGTCCGCCACGCCTCCTTCTGCTTGGGTCCGCCACGCCTCCTTACCCTGGTTTCCCATTTCCAATGGGTTCGGGGTTTCAAAAAAATCCAAATTTAAAAATTTTTGTACAATTAAGTCATTGAAAGTGAAGTGCACGAAATAAGCTGTGACATGGAAAAGGCCAGTTAATTTAGTTCTAAATGTTATTTGTTAGAACAGAAAAAAATAAAATAAATTGCGTTAGTACATAATGAATTTTTTTTTGGATATCCTTACTGGTTTAGCGAGGATATGGCTCTAAAATTGTTCTATACCACTGCACGAAATAAGCTGTGAGTCTCTGTATATACTTTGTAGCTGCTACAATAATATATAAAACATATTTTGTTTCAGAGACTTTCAAATTATATCGAGGAGGTAATGGGAGATTATACAGTACTGAAAACCAATCGAATTATGCCATGGAAGATTGAGTTTATCAATGATGTTTACAATACTTTGGGTTTAGCTTTATCCGAACAATATGTTGTACCTAAAAACTTTCGAATCGGTGACAAAAACCCAGTTCTGCAATTATTGCATTATAATCCGCATAAGGTTAAAGAAATAAACACATTTGTTTTCGGAGATCGATCCACACATCAAGATCAAGAGTCAGTGGACCCCACAATTATAAAATCCAAGTAAGTTTTTTTATTTTGCTAAGCAATAAAATGTAGTTTTGTTTTTCAGACGACTGATATCTCGCTTGGAGAAACGCATGGTATTTTCTAAATATTCGATTGAAAAAGCGTACTTACTTCATAAAATCGCATGCATTCATCTTCAGTCAAATCACTATGACGAGTGTTGTTTTGTTGCTCGCAAAGCGTTGCAGGGTTTGTACAATGTTTTGTTTCAACGATTCATCTTATAACGTTATTTATATTTAGAAGCAGAGCTATGCAACAGTAATATATGGAGTTTCTTAAGCATTATTATCACTGTGAAGTCGAATGCATCTTTAAATAAAACTGAAGGTATAAGTGAATCTTTGAAAAAAGCACTTTTAATTGCTGAGAAGCTTCAATCACCACAAATAATCGAATTTGTCGAAACGTGCATTTCTGGAAATGATCGTTTTTCTTGTGTAAGAGGCATCGATAGTCGTCGAGAAAGCAAAGCACATACTCGGAAGTCTCTCAATTGATCTCTTGTACTCCATCAAAATTTGCAGTATTCCAAATTATTCGTTTTTAAAATAAAAAATCTTTGATATTCATATAATATCAAAAATGTATAGCCGTTCCGGAACATAAGCATTTTTGTTGTAATTGATAGATTTATTTTTAATTATTTGCAGTAAGTATGGCTTTTTAGACTAACAAAGAACAAAAAATTTGTGAAACAAAAAAATTTGTACCAAACAGGTAAGAAAGCTCTAGTCGACACACACTCACACACACAGTAGTGGAGAAAGCTAGCGCTAGAGCGATTACAGGTAGCAATACGCCCAAGCGGTCAAGGGAAGTTGCCTCCGAGCAGAGGAAAACTCCCTCA